ACTTGGTTGGTCCCATTTCCCAACTCTCCAACGCTGTCTCCCTCCCCCAATTCTCCAATAAAATCTTTAAAAAAATAAGAATTCCTTATTGTATTTTCCAGGCCTTTTACCTACTTTGTTATTTAAAAAAATAATCTCTGCATGTCCCACATCTTAAATGTCTCTCCCAGGTTCATGTTATATTTCACCGGTTTATTTTTCCGGAGTTTTGTCATGTTTTTCTTTCTGCATGACTAAGATTTTGTTATGGCCATTGCACTTTTCTTGTTTGTTTGTTTTTTCACTCCATTTTATTCCAACCTTTATAAATAGCTTCCATATCTGCTTTTAACTCACTAAGAATATAAAGTGGAACTTTTTCTTTAAACTCTTGTATCTTTACTCCATTTCCACCTTGCCTCAGATTTTTAAAAGATCTCAAGTTTTGTTGCTGTTGCTTACTCCTTTTTGATATTGGCTTGTTCCCTTTGATATTGGTGCTTAAAGATCTGATGGGATAGATTCCAGAATCCTATATGAATGGAGAGAGAGAGAGGGAGAGAGGCGGGGAGGCAGATAGAGGGGAGAGAGAGAGAGAGAGAGAGAGAGAGAGAGAGAGAGAGAGAGAGAGAGAGGAGAGAGGAAAGAGAGAGAGAATCTAAAACAAGGGAAGACCCAGCAGCCAGAGAACCAGAAAATGATCAAGCCACATCTAGAGCTAGGGGCAGACCTTGGAGCAAGGCAGGTCCCCCTTCCTGTCTAGGGGAATGTAGATGTTTTCAAAGAACACTACCTGGGACCAAAGCTGGAACTCACAACTGTGTGTGACAGAAGACCAGGCTGTGGCGCCGCCTGCTCCAGGTAGTACATCACAGCATCACCTATCTGCCTCTGAAGGGAGCAGATGCAGCACAGACGAGGGAAGATGCAGAGTGGAATGGGGCACTATCAACCCTGTCCTGCCAAAGTCTTAGAAAGATCTAGAATCTTTTCATCCCTCATTGCTTATATGAGTAACTGCAGAGGGTTTGTTCTTTCTCTTTGAGTTGATGTCATAGTTATTTTAGTAAAAGGAAGCTTCTAGCATTGCCATCCCTTCCACTCACTCCCTAGGAATCATCTTTGCACATTAAAAACATGTATTAAAGATGATGGCCTGGGGGGTTAGGGGGATGGAATACTGGCAAGGATGTCCTATGAAAAACCTTCATCTTTGTAGACTGCAGGAAAAGATGTAGATGATTGTGGTCGTGTTAGTTCATTTGTGGCAGAGGCTCCTGGTTACCTCTGTGATATCCTTTCTCTCCTCTTACGAACTGAACTTTTAATTTTGTTCAGTGCAACATGCATTTCCCAGTCCCTTACAGGTATGATCATATGACACCGTCTTGGCCAATCATATCTAAGGAGATGTCACTGGGTGGAGCTTCCAGAAAGGTTCTTTAAAGGGTGCTAACTCAGCTGACTCTACGCCCTTCATTCTGTGCCCATCTTTTTCTTGACTGAAACTAACAGACATTCTCTCTGGAGCTCTAGGTGACATGCTGATAACCTGAGAACATGGCCTCACCCTGACGATGGAGGGGCAGAAACCTAAGTCTTGTGGACCCGGCGCTTCTTCCATCACATTCCTGGATTGCACAATTTGCTTACAACACTGCTGTACAGCCTTTCTGTTGCGTGCAGCTGACATCAACCTCTAACTGATAAACCATTCTGTTAGGAGAGAGGAGCCTTCCTCTTTCTCTCTGTGCACTAATACTTCCGAACGCCTTTTTCTTATTGCTTCGTTAATGTCATGTCAAAATGAAGGCTCTCATGGGTGAACTTTGAAGATAGCTCATATCCAGGGAGCACCCAGGACCAATCACCATTGGTTTACAAATCAGTCGCAAACTCGGTTTGTCCTCAAAACAAGCCACTGCTATAGGAGAACCCTAGAACATGCCAGAACTTTCTAAACATGGGGGGAGGGGAGAGCAGGGGACGGTTCAGTTGTATAAATGGGCATTTGACACGTCTATTGGACAGAATACATAGAGACCAGACTCCAGCTTTTGGGAAGTACAGCACCTCGAGGCCAGTTCCAGGAAGGGCCCGGACCCCTGTGGGGTTGTATATCTGGAGCTGTAATTAATGTTTTGGAACAAGAGGTCTGGGGCCTCAGCAAATTCCTTTATTGCTTTTTGCTAGAATTCTTATCACTGAAATTACTTATAAAGTTTCTTGTTTATAATAACATCAGCTCACATTAGCGGTTCTAAAGGGAAATAAGGAGGAAGAATACAATGGCGTATCCTTGGGGAGTGACTGATCCTGAAGAGAGAAAAGCCAGAAGAAGAACCAATCAGAGCCATCCCAAAGCACCTGGAGTTTTCTACTGTGGAGCCTCTCCTTTGGGTCCGAATTTACATTATCGACGGTTGTGTTCCAAGACAATGAATTTGGTGGGCCACCAACTTTGTTCAGTCCTGCCCTTCAGCACAGACCAAGTTTAAATGCTATTGTTTTTATTCACATATTCTAAACCACTTTTAAAGGCCTAATACATGCCAGGCACTGAACAAATTATAACGAAGATTTATGTTCCACTTTAAAAAGGAATTCATTACTTTGCTTTTTAACAGCTGCAGATGGCAGGCAGCATAACTTAACAATGCCGTCTGTGCTAGCCACCTACCTTTACAATTCAGTTTGATAACGCATAAGAAATTATGATACAGAGAGAGTTGTAATCACAAGTTTAAACCTCTTTGCCTCCAGAGTACAATGGAGCTTTCTTTGAGGGCTGGATGCCTCTCAAATTTTATTAACAAAAGAAAAATAACTAATTACATAAGTCTCTAATAACAAAAACTTAGTATCATAGTATAGGCACCTAATGGGCAGTGTAAACAATGAGATATGTCAGACAATAGAAAGGAGTAGAGCTGTTTCTACTATAATATCAACACACGATGTGTTGCAAATCACTACTGGAATTTCTGGATTTTATAAAGTAATTTCTATGTTTTGGTTTGGTCGATGCTTTTTATTTTTAAACGTAATTTAATTATGTGCTTAAAAAGATAGTTTCAATATACCCATAGCTTTCTGGAAATCAGTCCTATTGTTAATACATCTAGAATCACAAGTTATATAAGACCGCATATAAGGTAAATTTCAGATTTCACAAAAGTCTGTGAAAGCCTTGGAGATAACTGATGTGGAAATGAAGGCAATTCGCTACCACTGAGTCTCAGAGCAAATGCAAGAAACAAAGTATCATCAGACTCACCAGGGCAAGTGGACTTATTAATGATGTCCAAAGGCAGAATCATCCAACATCATTAGGTTTATTAATTAACTCCAGATATTGGGAGTGAACAGCCTGCTTGCCAAGTGGGGACTTGTTCGGCCGTCTTTATCTTCCCCTATATCACTCATTCAGCCAATTCATTAAAGCCTGTTTGTGTCTCCCAGGTGCCTCCTAATGAGTTTCATTGTTTTGTTTATGGTGTTGGTTGGCCCGCACTTCTCTTTCACAATTTTCCTCGGTTTCTAAAGGCTCCTTGAGTACCAATATGGATCACCGCATGTGCCGCTAGTCCTTGAATAGACGTGTCTTGACGAAATGAAGGACTTGGGAGAGTAAGATGGGACGGGGTGATAATGGGGAGGGGGGAAGAAAAAAGCCAGGGGGAATTCCACCAGGTGCCTGTGTTCCCAGAAAGCACCAGCAGGTGGTAGCAACACCTCGTGGGAAGCCCCAGCTGCGCGCAGTAGAACGGGAACAATAGACGCCCAGTCCTGCCCCGGGTTTGAGCCGACACCAAGGGTGGGCGGGAACATCTTTCCTCGCTACGCCCCCGTAGCTCCTCAATCCTTCCTTCCAGGCACCCGCTGAGCCCCTTCCACCGCCTCTAATACCTGTGTTCTCTCTGGGGAGCGGGTGGGGGAGGCGGCACCCAGAGGTGCAGCGACTTGCCCGGGCCGTGCAAAGCCAGGCAACCGACCTCAGGACTTCCCCTCTCCAACCCAGGCTTCCCTGCCCTTTGGGGAGGGTGGCGTCAGCAACCCCAACGATGACAAAGATCCAAAGTCACGAACAGGGAGAAGAGTTTTAGATCAGAGACACTTTCATCCCCAGACGCCCCCCTCCTTGGCTGCCTCTGCACCCCCACCACCCCGGTACCCGGCGAGATTTCTCAGTGTGTCTTTCCCTCCACCCCCCACCCCCACCCTGCTTTTCCTTTTTTTTTTTTTCTCCTCCGCTCACGCCCACCCGAGTTCAAACCAGAGTAACTAACACCGTGGGCTTAGTTTCTAGAGTTGAAGCCGAAAAGCTGGGGGTTGGGGGGGGCGTGGATGTCGGGGCCGCCCCGCCCCGCCCCGCTCTGGGCACCTCTTCTCTCCCGGGGTCCCGAGCCCGCGCTCATCCCAGGGGTTTGCAGCGCGTCTCCCCGGGCGCTCGGCTCCCCGCCTTCTCCGGGCCCCTCGCGCGCGCCCCCCTCCGGGCCCGCGCCCCTGCGCCCCGCGCCGCCGCCTC